CCAGCGAATCATCGGAGGGTGCCCGCACAGACATTGCACAGACATAATGTTGTTTTAGTTTACCCATATAGTTCAACAAGGCCGATGTCCCGTACACCGAGTAAAGGATGTAACGTCCCGTCCACATCATTATATACGTTGTGGTGTTTTCTATTTTATTCCACTGAGTGTGCGCTACACTCCGTTTTACCATGAGTGCGAGAGAAGCCGAAGCTACAAGCGCGAATGTGTTGCCTTGATAGAAGCTTACACTGCTCGAGAGCGCGTGCTCGGCATGCATGTTCAAAGTTCGGGGCTTTGAACATGCATGCTCGAAGCTAGAACGAAGTATAGAGCCATAATCGATCGCGCAGTTTAGAGGGCGAGCTCAGAACGAGCTCACATTAATAGGCTGCTAAGGTTGGCCATTTTGATGGTGTGGAATGCACGTTTCAAAAGAACTGTGGAAGCTCGTCGTCAGCACGCGCTCAGCAGTCGCGCACAAGGCTATGGCCACCAGTGAACACTGAACATGCCCTATAGATCCTTTTCTTTGCAAGCGCCACCAGGCGGCGTTTCCCTCTTTGACATCCCAGGGACCTTCCGGTTCACAAAAAAAAAAAAGAACAAAGCCCACCTCAACACCGCTGCTTGAAGCGTCAATAAAACATTTGACCACCACTTCTCCAAACAAACGCAAAAAAAAAAGAAAAAAAACCAAGGAGCGCGAGATCTGTTCAAAAGTTTCGAATATTCTTGTAAACCAAGTTGTCTCCTCCGAGTCGTTAAATCGTGCAGCCAAATGCTCTCACTAAATCTCCAACTTTACTGTCCGTGCAGCATTTATGCTTCCTTGCACTGGTCACATAATCAAACTCGACAGGCTTGCAAAGACGAAGCTACCCGAAGTCGCTTGGGATGCAAGCAGCGGTTCATGTTCGTAAACCGTAAAAAGGTGAATACGACCAAAGTTTCATGGCGTTGACTTAACACATGCACTCAAGCTCGATGCTCTTTGCATACAATCGGCCGGAATAAGCACGAAGTTTATGAAAGGTGGCGTATTGTCATGTTAATATCAGAGACCAAAAATATTTTGTGTAATTAAAAAAAAAACTCGCTTTTGCGATTTTTGCATTGAGTTAATAAAATAAAATCGTGTCACGCTTCAGTGTTTTGAGTTTCGCCACGCTGACACACAAACGTTTCTTTTCTTCAAACCAAATATATCTTCTACGGACCTGAATCGTGTGCCCAAATATTACACCCCTATGTTTGCCAAGACAAATAAATTTGGAAAAAAAAAAAAAAACCACCTCGCCCCAAAACACTTCACTATGGTACCTTTATGGCATCGTGTAAAGATGTTTAGAATATGCCACGACGAACACAAAACTTCTTTAATAAGGAGTATTCACTGGACGCCATATTTGTGGGTGAAGTTTAGAGCGCATGCTCAGAACGAACTTACATTTACAGGTTGCTAAGACCGGCAATCTTGATGGTGTGGAATGCACGTTGCAAAAGAACTGTGCAAGCTCGCCATGAGCAGGCGCTCAGCAGTCGCGCACACATCTATGGCCGCCAGTGAATACTCCATATAGAAATGTCGCGAAAAGTGTTGCGCGTTAAAGCCGGGTTCACACTGCTCATAATATCATGCAAAAGACACTTTGCAAACCCGAGTCACCGCAATATCCATGGTTCGAACGCCGCGTGCCGAGTTTCTCCTTGAACTCATTGCCATGCGGTATTCGAAGCAGTGACCTTGCAGTGACTCGCGTTCGAATCTGCATGCAGACTGTCTTTGTATGATGCATAGGCTGTGTAGGCCCTTTTACTGTTAAGAAACATGAGCTATCACTTCCGTCCCAAGCGACTACCGGTCGTTCCGTCTTTGCAAAACTGTGGAGCTTGCTTATGTCAGCAGTGCTAGAAAGCATAAATGCTACACAGACAACAAAGTTGGAGATTTAACGAGGGATTTCGGCTGTACAATATTACATCTTGAGGGAGGCAAGTTGGTTTACAAGAATACTCGAAACATTTAACAGATCTCAATCTTCTTTGTTCTTTTGGTGTTCACCTAGAGAGTTGGTGGTTAAACGTTTAATCGACACTTCAAGCAGCGGTGTTAAGGTGGACTTTGTTCATTCTTTTTATAAGACGTGAAAGAATGGAGCACCGCCTGGTGGCTTTCGCCATGAAAATGGTCTATAAGCAGTGCGACCCCGGCTTAAGAACACAACATAAGATGCAAAAAAAGGCCACACTAGCATCCGTGGATCCCATAAGCCCTCATGTACAGATATTTCTCTGACTAATTTTCTAATGTATGAAACAGTAATACTGTTATTCAAAACACCAATAACTAGGAATATATAAAGATAATAAACGGCTGACACGATCCGCGATGTCGAATTATCTGAAACTCAACGAAGCCTTGTCCTTGACTTCGTAATATTTGCCTGTACAATTAATGTGCCAAAAAGCGAGTAATAATTTTTGAGTATTTTCCGATGAATGTAGAATAGTAATTATTAGGAAGCGCACATTCAGTACAAACATAAACTGGATCTCCTTTTATATATGTTATTCCACAACAGCTGAGATACTCATCTGCGTTAGCACTTTGGAGCTGACGGTGTAAAAACATTCAGCTGAAACTGCTCGTTTTCACCCACGGTTACTGATAATTATTTGCTAAATTACCCAAGCTCAAAAAAGCGTGCACGAGTGTAGGTACACGCGCTGCGCGTACTGCCTTCTGCAGAAGTGACTGTTCTAAAGTAAAAGTCCAAAACAAATGACACTTTGCGTGAGCGTTCATCAATGTGTTCATTTTGGTTGTTTACCTCAAATATTTAACACACATAAGGCGAGCGCGTGCATGGCGTGTACTTACGTGCCCAGAATTCTTTTGGATGATTGATGTAATTTAGCAAAAAGGTCTATTGACAGCATTACTGGCCGCGGATGACTGTAAGATAAAATGAAAAGATGGCGGACTGCGCGCGGGATATCTTTTTGAGGTACGTAGTACTCACGGGGGTAAACTTCTCCAACTTTGGTTCACGAAACTGCATGTGACCACTAACCATGCGGCGCAGTCATCGCCGTGGTTTGTAGACCTTAAATTGAGAATGTCATCTCCTTTATCCTTCTATTATGGTGGGTTTACACTTCCGGATTTGCTTGCGGATATGCGCTGGCGGCGAGCTGATTTTGGAGCCGGGTGGTAAAATCGACTTGTCAGTGGCCGAAAATCTAGATATGGGTACCTGATTAATCCAGACTTTCCAACAGCAACGGGCGAATTTCGCCACTCGACTCCGAAATTCGCTCGCCGCTGGCGAGAATCCGCCCGCGAATTCACAAGTGTAAACGCACCATTCAGCGCCCTTAAAGGACGCTGGCGAGTGAGATTATTTCAGCTGGACGTTCGTTCTCGGTGAAGCAACGCTCGCGTACCTGGTGATGACATCAGACTGCGTCAGTGTCAAGGCCAGGGTGTAAAACTGATACCCTGTCTTCAGCCAACTCCACAAAGTTTACATGAAGGCGCCAGTCTGTCTAGCATTGAAAGGCAATGTGATTTGCATAGTGTGCCATAGTGCACTTAGCTTCCGAGGAAGTGGCTCACCATATTCATCAAATAAGAATCTCACGAGACACAGATGCTAGTATCCTAAGCCTTTCAATACACCGAGTGTTGCCTTAAGCCGTGTCACACTGCCCATGCATCATACAAAATACAGTTCGAACGTTGAACTCACTGCAATGCGGCATTCGAAGCACGGACCTCGCTCTGACTCGCGTTCGAATCTGTATGCCGACTGTCTTTTGTATGATGTAAAGGCAGTGGGACCCCGGCTTTACATTGTGTAAGAAGCCTCACAATCTGGATGTGACTGTATAGTTCTCACTCTAGGGGTAAAAATGAAGAAGTCATAGTCAACACCGAAGCTCAAGACGTTTAATATTTTGTTCTTTAGAAGTAACAAGCAGGGCGCTTTGATGAGGAGAATGTCTTCATTTTATGGCATCTAAACAGCACATGTTCAGTGCTTGTGAGCGTTAAATAGCTGTAACGATGATCCCACGCTTTCTTTATGAAGCACATAATTGCTGTTTCGAGTGTCTCACAAGATATAGTGCGCGCACGTCGCATACTCTGTATGATACGCGTCTGTATGATTCAGGCGTATCATACTGGCGCGTATCATACTCACTCGAGCTGTTTCAGAGCGTTGCGAGAAAGAACAACTCGGTCTGTTCATAAACTTTTATTTTTCATTACTAACGTTGTTTATTACTCTTGCTATGCGTCAGTATAGACTACGTGGTCAGAATAAAAGTTTACTTCTTTTTTCTTTTCTTTTTTTTTTTTTTTTGGGGGGGGGGGGGTATAGTGTGCAATGCCGGTTCACAAGTTAGTTAAAAACCTTATAGGAAAACGGCTGAAATAGAAATTAAATAAAGTCAGTTTCTCTAAAAAGGGACTGGTGGAATTACTGAATTTCAACCTGCGCTCATGTGGGGAAGCTAAACACATGTCCGAGAAACATGAGCCAACAATCGGACAAAAAACAAACAAAAAAGAAACAACGGAACAAGCGAAAATAGCAATATCGTTGAAACCCAGGACCGGGATATAGAAAGGGGACGACACGCACACAATCTCGAATTCAGCTGCAACTTTTATTTCTCCTTCTTGGTTTATGAGGAGGACCCCTATAACCGAACCTCAGACACGCGAAGTCAGTTGTCGTAACATCAAAAATTTTAAGATGTCAATACACAACAACAGTTTGTTTTCGAAGACAAACCGCAACTGGGAATATACCACGTATGGTTCCTTTTAACACATATTTGCGAGTATGGCTATGAATTGAGTATGCTTTCACGGAAGCCTTGCGCTCGTTCTTAATTTGTTTTCAAGAAAATGGGAAAGAGGAATTAGAAGAGAGAAAGAGAGACAAGTCGTTCTCAGTCACAAGTTGAAACTGTTGCACGCTTACCTTGTGCTTGAGTCGGTGACGGTGAGCCCCATGCGGCCTTGTACGAGGTCTCTGCACCGGGAGACAAAAGAAACAAATTAGCTGTTGTAAAATGCCTACTGAATTCGGTGCCAACTACCACCAGCGACCGCACTAACATTACAATTGCATTGGCAAATTATTCCGAACGAAAAACCACGCATTAAAACGTGTCTTTCTGATGTATTAATTTTGTGAATACAGTAGAACGTCGAACCGTTTACAATACTATGTTGTCCTGGGATCTTAGCCGACGTGAGAAAGGTATCTACGCCGTAAGGTTTTTCTTTGTGTATAGAGTACACGCAGAGGGCGCTTATAACGAGCGAATGAAGAACTTGACGAATAGCGTGGCTAGCTACCCAAATATGCAAGCACATTTTGGAATAAGCGGAGCTGTATATTTTTTTTATTGACACATACTATTTGCTTATATCTATACTTTGTCTCATCCTACGATGGACTAAAAGCCACGGGCCGCCAGGTCCAATCACGTTCCACGCTATACAATAACACGCTTAACATTGATTAGGGGTGGACGAATAATGCTCGAATCCAAAGCGCCGCATCATTTCTATAGCTTCGACGCTGCAAAAAGCCTATATTTTGTGGCTTCCTTTGCAAAGTAATATTGTTGAGTCACTCAGTGCTCCTCGATTCGAAGCACTGTCCACCCGTCCCCTTATCAGTGATCTGAGACGCGGGCAGCGATACGAGCATCGAAGCGAAATACCGCACAATTTCTAAGTGGCTCGTGATTGGATCTGGCGGTCCGTAGCTCTTGCCTTTAGTCCATCGTAGGGTGAGACGAAGTATAGCATCCAAGGCCGGGAAGGCATCTAGCGGGAATTCTGATTATAAACAAAGGAGAGAAAACACACACAAAACTCCCCTAGTTACAGACATACACATTAACTCCCCTAGTTACAGACATACACATCTGTAACTAGGGGAGTAGCCTAAAATGTAGCTCTGTAGCGCTGACACTATTTTATTATTCTTTTATTTTATTAGGCGTTTGTAACGTTTGCTGGAATACTTTTGTTTATTAATAAAACGAACGAAAACATCTTTTTGTTTTTAATTGTTGGTCCCAGAAATAAAATAGAACATTCGAGTTCGGATGTACAGAAGTATTATGAACTTATGAACAATACCTTATAAATTATGACTCACATTCAGTCATTTTATGTATAAATATTCAGACATATATTTACGCACTATTAAATATATAAGACGTCTAAGTTTACGGTTGTGTTAGATCACAAAGAAAACCCTTTACCGGAACGTCCGTTTACAAATATGTTAACGGACGTTTCGCCCACATGGACAATTACATGTGTATGCATCCACGACGAATATATGTATATTCCTCACATCGTTCCTTATCGCAGTGTAAAAAAAAAAAGCGTTTCAGGAAAAATGTATTGTGCTTAAATAACGAAAAAAAAAAAAAAACACGCACGTAGTTTTTTATTTACGTATATGTGAAGCAAATCAAGTCTCACTACGTCACGGTTTGAAAGATAAAAAAATCGCAATGAAGTACGGTGAGACAGGATTATTGAAGCGAAGCTGCCCCCTCTCCCAGTCTTCGGCACGTCTCATAGGTGTCAGCACACCTCTTTCAAGCAGGCTCGAAGGAGACGCCGCCATCTTGGCTCCCTTGAATTCTGAACGACCTGTTCCTCATATTGGACTAGACTACTCAACATTCCAAAAAAACGTTGTCGAATTCAGAAGTAGACTGCCGCGGTCGTATGAGCGTGTCGACGGGGATGCGCGTGGTCTCGGCTCGAAGCGCTATCGGTCCCTGCGAGAGACTGTAGTAAAAAAAAATGTGTAGGGGATGGAAGGAGAGGAGGATAGGGGACACCAAATGGAAAGAAAAGAGGGGGGCGATGTGGGTATTGATCCGCTCCAGCAGCTCGAGGCTGTCGCATATTGAGCCGCGGGTATCGACTGCCTCCCTTGCCTCGCTGCGACTGGCTGCATATCATGCGCAGCGATGCTTCGCTCCTTGCCCCTCGCGTCCTTCTTTTTTCTTTACCTCTGTGTTTGTACTTTAGCTCGACGACTTGGCCAATATCACTACATATTGTCGTTCTAGACTCGATGTCTGCTGAATTTTTTGCCTCGCCGCTCCAGCCACTGTCTCCATACCAGGGCGACACACCCACGTATGGTATCGTATCTCAGAGCAAATAAAGGCAAGTTGAAGGACAACAACAACCACAACATTAAGAACGCGTACGAAACTTTTTTCCTTTCATGTTCATAGTTTGATTGGTATTTATACGGTTGCGACTATCTATCGGTGAGCCTAAACTTATCGGCTTGGAATCTATGCGTTTTCTTTTCTTTTTCTTGAGGGTGCTAGTTTCGTTTGCCATAGCTCTCATCGCGAGAGCGTCAGGGTACGCTGCGCATCACTGTTAGCGCGAAGAAGACAATTCCGCATTTTTACACTTTACTCCTGAAGATTTTGCATCGTGCACCCATACACCGATATCAACAAGCAAAGTGCGCAGGCGCGCGCATTCCGGAAGTGGTGCCACCGCCATGTTACTTGTATAGTCATTGCTTCCCGGCTGCATAGGGATGCGGTGAGCATACATCATCGTACATCATCGTTTGGGACGCCTCGCTACGGGCTTGGATCTTCTTGTCATTTGTGTACTTCATAAGATTGTATTGTTTGTAGCTTATCAGCAAGCGCAGAAAAGCAGTTACAGTCGTCTTTTCGCTTTAGAAGCGCATCGTCGTCTGCTGCCACGTTAGAGTACTTCTAGCGGTAATCCTACTGCAAAAAGAAAAAAAAAAAAAAGACGACGCTATTTGAGCATTTTGACTGCTCGGACGTGTCTCTGAGCTTGGAAACAAGGAAACATCCAGTTCAATGGCAAAGAACACGAACATTCTAAAGACGATCGGCTCGGTGTAACACCGCGGAACAGCATCGAGTGTTTCGATGAAAAACGGAGCTTGGTAGTGCTCAGACTTGTGCGACCGTTTTAATGACAATGAAGTAAGAATAGCAAAATAAACTTTTTCGGGGAGCGATAGTGGTCTAAAGATCGTTTCATTCTGGCTTACAGCGTGCGCGACAGAGTACAGATTAATTGCGGGTTGAAGCCTGTACGCAAACAAGAAATGATCCGAAGAATGACCGTGCCTGAGCGTCGTGACAGCCCGAGTTTGCCAAAAAGCAGCAACCAATGCCAGGTACCTAAAAACGTTTTGTGGATATGAGTTTTTTGTACGAATTATATTCAATTTTATTTTGTTTGCGCAAGCTCCGTATGCTGATAATTGCCCGACGGTGCAAGCTTTTTGGCTGCGGTCTCGATTGGTGTTAATACAAAACAGATCAATAACGCCAGCCAAAATCAAGTTGTGGTATAATAAGCTTTTTTATACTGTAAAAAAAGCCCGTGCGTTTACTTTCCCGCACAACAGTCGGAGAGCCAGTCAGCGCAACCTACGGAGGCAGCTCAGCGAATGACGATGCCGAAACATATGTCTTTACCAAAAAACGCAGTCTGAGTTGTACATTAAGCAATACAAGCGTGACGTTTCGCATTGCTTAATCCCAACTCAGAGTGCGTTCTTTGGTATAAACATATGTTTCGGCATCGTCATTCCCTAAGCTACCTCGGTAAGTTGCGGTGATTTGCTCTCCGAGTGTTGTACGGGAAAGTAGACGCACGGGCGTGTTTTAGAGTGATAGGGTGGGTTAGTTTTGGTTTTTTTTTCCCCTGACTTTCTGGCATTAAGTGTTGCACTTTTAAACTGCATTATGTGGTGTTTTCGCGTTTTTTTTGCAAAGCAAAAGAAATAAAGACTGCTTTCGAAAAAGTGCAAAAAAAAAAAAAAAGCGTGGATCGTACGTTCTTTAATATTTTCCAAGAAAGTTGCTGTCAACGTTGTAAAAATACCTAGTGAGTAAGACCTGTTTGTTTGCATTGATCTGGCAGGAACTTGTGTCTTACTATACTCAAGAAAAGAATATCGACCGGAAAAAAAAAAAAAAGGAGCGGACTCAGCTTTACACGATGACCACCACGGAGTTCGTTTTCTATTTCGCAAATTATTCTATTAATAACGTATGTGATCTGATTCATCGAATTTTTGCGTGATTGTTACCGTTCAAGGAAATTAACATTGTGAAGTGATGACAGCGTGCGAACGTATTTTAGATAAACTAGATCGCGCATGGGTATGTATATTTTTGTTACAAGACGTGCTTCGTACAGGGCAGTGTAACAGAAATTCCCGTCTGAGTGCGCTACACTTTTCAAGAAGGAATTTTGATTCGGTTCGTTTTATGAAAACGTCGATTTGACTTATGGGTTATAATTATGTACTATGAGTATCCCTATCTGATTAGGATAACTTCCCATGAAAAGGACACCGTCGATGTTCAAGTGTAAGAGTAGTAAGGGTTAATGCGAAAAACATGCGAGTCCATTAAATAAATAATATCCGCAGCACCTACCGGGAGCTCATGCAGGCTACAGTCCCCAAGTGTCACAAAAATATTAGACGCACATCGAATTTACGCTTATCTGCGAAATCGCAAAGCACAAATAAGTCACACGTGGAGAATTAAGAATTGCCTCTTCAGAGCACAAAAATAGCGTAGAATACAACTTCCAGTGTTCAGAAACGTGCATATTCAAATCTATTGCAGAAACATGTAAAATATTTTGTGCATATAGACTCTTGCGCCTGATGGTCTGGCAAATATTTTAGAAGTAATTTTTAATTCAAAGCAATTTCTGCGGAAAACAAAGTTAGACCGAGTTTTTCGTCGAAATATGTTGTAACGTTAGTGGTTTCAAATATCTGCGTTGTTAAGAGCACCAAATGTTTGGGTTGCGTTGTTTTCGTCTAAATAATGTGTAATGCATCACTAATCATGATATGCAGTGTTCAATACGCCGAGTCGTTTCGGTTTCGACTGTGTCTGAATGACGTCAAAGACCCTGAAAACGCCGACTATAGACCTTTACAAAACGGGCTTCTGACCG